GCGATGTTGGAGAGAGTCTACGCGAACTTCCAAGAACGCCTCCAGTAATGCATCAACGATTTCGGCCACCACATGCCTGATGTGATTTTCCTAACTTGGCTGTCTTAAATGCTATTTCCTTGTGAACCTGATTCCATCAATAAATTTGTCTTCGTGTAAAAATTAACTATTTTATGCTTTTTTTAAAACGGTCCATCCTCTCTGCCGCACCCTATATAAAGAGAAAATTATCATGCGGAGAAAGGTTTATAAGAAAAATAGGAAAAGAATGGGCAAAATCCTCGAAAAGTAGCATCAGTGGATTTTTGCTTAGCAGTATGCATCACTAAATACTGTGACGTCCAGGGTACACGGTTAGTAAATATCAGATACTATGATAAATATTCGACAGAATACTCACTGAGGACACGCTGCGTAAGTAAATAAAAAAATGAAACTTGGAACTGGCTTTAGTCCGAAACAAAATTTTTCAATCACTCACATTGTCTACAAATTTAAAACGAATTACGGAATATCATTAAAGAATCGAATCCACTTTTTGCGGATTTTGCTCATTATTTTCCTATTTTTGTTATATACCGTTCTCCGCATGATAATTTTCTCTTTGTACATCCTTTGGACTTGAAGTACCACAGCACGTGGTTGTGGTTATTTGTCGCCTCGAAAATTCGCGGTTTCTAGCCATTTTATACTATAATGTGTAGGTTGGCTCTTGTGGAGTTCGTATGTCTTTTTTTTCCTCTCCATCTTCGTTTCCTCAGGTTACACCCGTATCCGGATGTATGGGCATGTGTATCTACTTTGTAGTTGCATATGTGCATTCATTTCAGGCCTGATGAAGCCAACCAGCAGAAATGCGTAACGCTCGGGTTACCTATCCTATTTTCTGCTCGAATTCACTTTTTGCGGATTTTGCCCATTATTTTCCTATTTTTGTTATATATATATATACAGTTAAGACTACATCGTGAACCACCTGAGGCTGCACAAAATGGTGTCATTAATTATTGTTTTCAGCTCCAGACGATGAAGACATAGATCTTCGAAAGCTCGAGTTTAAGATATATATATATATATATCCTTGAATTTCTTTGGGTAGATGGCAAAGTATTACAAAAGTACACCCTTATAACTTTCGAAGATCTATGTCCTCCACGTCTGGAGTAAGTTGGCGAGATTGTTACTGAAATTGTTTCTAAACAACAGTGAAGGGAACACATAGTCGAAGAATGAAAAACTGGACTGATGAGGTTCGATTAGGAAGGAAATATTTTATTATTAAATGGCAAATCATTTTGAAACGTCTTTTTAATTAAACGTTGATTGATTTTGGAAGAAATTTGGAGATTTTAAAACTATCAACTATTGAAAACTCCTTCCAGATTTCATCTTTTGTTAACTGGTAACCTCCACATTATCCAACACGTGCCGGCCGACTGACAGTCGCAACAATCTCGCCGACTTACTCCAGACGATGAAGACATAGATCTTCGAAAGCTTGAGAGTTTAAGTTATAAGAGTGTACTTTAGCAATACTTTGCCTTCTAACCAAAGAAATTAAAGGATATCTTCTCCTAACAGTTGAGGCAATTAACCATGAATACTATATATATATACAGGGTGACTTCGAAGTTGAGTCATTTATTTTAACAGTGAGTAGATCTGATCAAAAGAAATGTTTTTTTCCTTTACCATTTTTCTGGTAAAATTAAAGTAACAAAGTTATAGCCCTTTGGAAGTTTGAGTACCGCCCTGTCTCAATAACATCAGGTGCTCGTGTTTGGCAACAACGGATATAATCCACCTTATCGGTTCATCGCATCGGAAACAAAAAAGCGAAAGAATTTGGAACGATGTTTATTTTATTCAGTTCAGTTATACATACAGTCAATGTCAGTCGCGTGTGAATAGTGTCTGTTGCGTGGCTCAAACGAAATAAAAAATGGCACATGTTTATGCGGATCGGTTTCCCAATCGAGTGCAACCAACCCCTCGTGCCTTTGTTAATGTAGTACAACGGGCTCGTGAATCAGGTGACTTCAGACCTCACAGGGCACCTCACGATCAAATACAGGTCCGCACTGAAATACTTGTCGGGAGGATACTTTATAAAACAAGGTAACATTTTTTTTTTAATTTTTTTTTATTTTTACACACATATTTTGGTTTATCTTCCTTCTACAATCATTATCTGAAAATTAATGACTCAACTTCAAAGTCACCCTGTATATGCAATATATGCAGTATACGTATCGATACATGCATCTGAGAACATTGTAACTGACATTGGGTCGATTTTTAGTGTTTAGTTGTTTCTGATAGAGCTTGCTTAATAGTTTCAGCTAGTATAAGAACTTGAACATATACAGGGTTATCCAAATTAAGTGTCCACCATTAGTAACTTTGTTATTAGTGAAAATACAAAGTTGTTTGAATTAGCAAACTAGTAGCATTTTTAACGCTGGTAAAAATGAGAAATAAAAAAAAAACAATTGAGAGTCGTTATTTTGATTTTTTTCAGTAAAATAACATTTTTTTTAATGGAAACCCCTGTATATTGTATTTTTTTCTGTTAAAGCATCAAATTTTAAAAAAAAAGCTTACAATAACTTTTCTCCTAGGTTACAAATTGTTGAAGTTATGGCCTCCAATCTGAAACAATTAAATTGTATCGACAAACTTTATTTTCAACATCAACTTATAATCTTACAAAATACAATAACAATTTTTTTTAAAGAAGATGCTCGAAAACACCACCTTGTTCTTCAATACATTTTTGGGCACGTTTTTCAACTGCTCGAACTGTCTTAAGTATGGTCCTACCATCTATCTGGGTTATCTTTTCCCTAACTGCAGTCTTTAACGCGTCAAGGTTATCGTACCTTCGCTTGTAAATTTGGTTCTGTAAGTAACCCCACAAGAAGTAATCAAGTGGGTTTAGATCTGGTGATCTGGGAGGCCACTGTATTGGGCCATTTGTTTCTATCCACTGATCATTAAAAGTAGTACTTAGAAAATGATAAGTACCTCTGGAGTTGTGGGCAGGTGCGCCATCTTGCTGAAAATGCAGATGATGTCTACTTATAAGATCCAATTCGTCTAAGAAATTAGTCAGAATTTCTGACATAAATTCCACATATCTTTCACCAGTTAGGGTTCCCTCATAAAAGAACGGGCCAACAATTTTTGAACCAATTATACCGCACCAAACGTTGAAACTGAAACGGACTTGTGGGCCTCTTGGATGTACTAACAAAAGATTTTCTCTTGACCAATAATGGTGGTTTTTTCTATTAAACATTCCAGAATTTGAAAAATTTGATTCATCTGTCCATAAAAGGTAACGAAAGTTATTTACATTTTGGCGACAGAAGCTAAGATACCAATGGCAAAAAACAAGTCTTCTCTCTGGATCCCCTGCCAAAAGCGTTTGAACTGGTCGGTACTTATACGGAATAAATTTGTATTTTTTTAAAATCCTTTGAACAGTACCATAACTGAAATTAGAGTCCTTGAGAATATCTGCTATTGAATTCTCACGATAAGCTTCAAAATATCCAATAACTGCAATTTCCGTGGCCTCGCTTATTATGAATTCTTTTTTTGCCCTTGTTTTAGCAAAAACATTTTCGTTGCCCCTAAATTTTCAATAAAGTCTCAGAAAATATCGTTCATACGGTTGAATGCGAGCGGGATATAATTCACTGTAGTATTCTCTTGCTCTCAAGGAGGATTTTCTGCACACTAAATAGCATTCTAACATATCACACTTTTCTTCATGGGAGAACATTTTTCTTTAAATTAATGACACAATAAAGCTTATAAACAAGTATTTACACTAATGTTTGACATTATTTGATTTTATCATTGTTTTCCAAAGCCTTCTAGTTGCGAGTATGTCCAGTTTAACAATTTGTCGCTTATCTTAATGCTGTCAAATCGCGAACGCCATGTTGTTTTCATAGCCGTCTTAATATTATAATACTGCAAATAATTAAAAATATTTATCGTTATTTTGACTTTATTTTTGACTTTAGCGGAAAAGTCATTATGAACTTTTTTGTTTAAAATTTGATGCTTTAACAGAAAAAAATATAATATACAGGGGTTTCCATTTAAAAAAATGTTATTTTACTGAAAAAAATCAAAATAACGACTCTCAATTGTTTTTTTTTATTTCTCATTTTTACCAGCGTTAAAAATGCTACTAGTTTGCTAATTCAAACAACTTTGTATTTTCACTAATAACAAAGTTACTAATGGTGGACACTTAATTTGGATAACCCTGTATTTGTATCAAAGATGAGAAAAAAGTTTTTTAAATATCATTGTAACTGTATACTGCCACTGTACAGCAGTAAGGTCATGGTAACGTTTGATACAATTCCACTTCAGCTTACGCAGGATATTGTAAAGGATGTTACGCATCTACCACAACCCAGTTGTTATTACTAAAACATTGTATTTGCCTTTATAGTGTTTATGAATGCGCGCAGACGTATTACGGCTCATTGTAAGTGACTTTACAATGATGTTGCATGGAAAATATCAAGCAAATACACACTTCCTATAGCGACACTCTAATGTTAATGCTGCTGTAAGAGCCTTTACAATGTTATTACAGGTACAGTTTATGTATTTTTATCATTGTATATGCTCTTAAAATTGATGAATGATAATTACTACGTTTTGTGGAAGAACATTGTAACATACGTTACAATGATTATACTGCTGTTTTCGTCACGTTGTAATTACCCGTTTTCTGCTTTTTGCACGAATTTTTCCAATTTTCTTTAGAGAATAGCGTTAACCAACGACCAAACTTCACAAAACCACAAAAATGTGTAGCAAGTTACCATGCATAGTGCCAAAAAGCTTATTCAAAATTGGTAGAAAATTGATATGGCTCTCCTGAAAACTTGACTTTTGCCAGTTACAATGTTCTTAGATTCATGTATCTGTATCTGTGGATAACTTATATTTGTATTGTTTCGACTTACATCACGCCGTCTAATATAGAGGAAGAACTCCAAACATCTCCGACTAACCACACAGTCCAATACTCAACCATGGGAGTGCTGAATAATACTTTCCGTTTGAGATGCAGTAATGAGGCCGAATGGTCCGCACACACACCACCTTTGGTCGACTACGCAGGGGCTCAATGCCTAAAAATGGTACAACAAAAGGCCTAAGCCTGAGTGAAAAAAGCTAGTCTTGGAGACTAGCGCAAACAGAGCCCCTGTGAGGACGATGCATTATCAGCTTATCCGTTTCGTGACTATCAGAGTCGCCGATGTTTACAGACAACATAAAAATTTAATTGCAATTTTTATCACACACTAAGCTTAAACTTCACGTCAGTCGTGACTGTCTACATTACTGCTGTCTTTTGCTAGAAAAAAAATCGAGTAACAGCTGAAGAATGCTGTCGAAAGCATACTGCTTCATTAACATTATTCTGGTGATTCTTGGTGTATGTGGCGGTTATGCAGGTAATTCATCAATTCAGCTTCAAATACAGTTTATCCGTGGAGGGAACCGGAGGGAAAATTAGATAGGTTTTTCAGGACTACTACCTTTGAACCTACGGATCCTTTATGCGCTATACATAAAATAGTCTATGTTGATCACAATATGGGGGCTACGAGAACTGTCCTTATTTATTGCTAGGTGACCGCAAAAGTATCGTTAACAAAACAGCATGGTCATAATTATTTGTCATAGCCGATGTAACGTACAGCTTATTCACTGAATCTAAGCAGTTATGTCAGAACGTCAAATAATAACTGTGACGCAGATGGTTGCCACATTAGTTAAAACTACCAGATCCTAGGACGTTTTACAAAATCTACTTTATGTCTTCGATGCCTAACCGCAACCAACATTATGCATGTTTTGTAAACGCTAGAGCTAGTATAAATTCTATTTACTACCTAATACCTCTCTTACGGACTGTAAAGTCAACAAAGGAGCTCCCGAATCTCGTTTGGTCTCAATATATTTCGTCAAAGAAATGATGAATACTTTTGCTTGTCGACCCAGATGTTTCGACATTTTAGCGAAATGCTTAAAAGACCACCTCAAATGTTTGACAGAAACTGTTTATATAAAATAACAATGCAGATATTGAGGCAAAAAGAACGAAAATAAACCACAAATAAATAACAGCCGTTGGCGTAAGTACCTGAAAAGCTTTGCGACAATGTCAGCTACCAACATAAATGTACCCAGGAAATTCAAACTGTACGTACCAATTTAGGATCTATTTTGCATTAAGGCTGGCAATCAAATATACTAACTATGATGTAGCTGCTTTGCGCACTACCACAGGTGAACCCTCAATGCCTGTCGACACGATGCGGAGGCGGGGAAGTAGCTTTAAGTTACTCAACAATTTTTAAAAGTTTATGACCTACAAACATACGCAAACATCCAAATTTGGTACTGCAAGCGAGTCTGTTACATTTAAAAGTACTTGACCATACTAAACCTGATCCATGCAACATGGAAATTATTTAACAGTGGAGTCTTCTTGATGCCTAGTCACTCTCTTGACAAGTAAAAAACTGCACATCAGGGTACTGAATGGTGTTGGGTATGTCGAGAGTAACTCAAGATGCAGTTTGCTAAAGAGATTAGGTTTGTCCTCAATTATCGCTACCCAAAGCATTAATGTTTGAGGACTTTGAGCTCTCCCACATTTTAGCATACGTTTTAACATTTTTCATCGTTCATACATCACAAGCGTTCGGAATGAAGCCTATCAATAAGTCGCCTTAGCAGTCTTTCTTTATCATGTTTTCATCTATCGAATCTCTTACTCACCTTGAACCAATGGCGTACCCAGCTCAAAACGGATGGCGAGGCTACTTTAAAAGCATTTGGCGGAAGCTCCTCAAATCATATCTACATAAGCTTGATATTTTCTTTTTCTATTTGCATTTCATGTATATAGAATCTTACAGGAGGACTTGACAATCCATATGGATGGATGTGTAAATGTAAATCCTGTTGTCAAAAAAATTGTACAGAATCTCGAAATAAAAGGTTCTGGGTAACTTTTTATCAAACTTCAAAGTTATAAATACACAGAAGCATTGGAAAAGGACAAAAGTTAATTGGTTTCACAAAAACTTGTTTATTTTTTGCCGAGAAGTGCATAAGAGTAAGTATGAAATCATAGCCAAAAGTTAAGGCCTTTGTAGTGATTAACATCGAGAAAAATCCTAAAAGCTAAAGCAGTCCAGCGACGGAACTGTTGCAACAAGTTAGACATACAGGGTGAGGTTTTAGTATCTAATTGGACAGTATCTATACTTATCTAACTATAAAATAATTTAAAAAAAACTACTACACGCATCCTACTTTAAATCTACCGATCCCCAGGGTGAATCTTACCGACATGACGTTTTCTTTTTTAAATGGAACACCATAAGTCCTTTAATAATCTAATACGCCACTTCCTAGCCAGGGATATAGCATAAGATGGATGTCTCTTAAGTTTTGCATATGGAAATAAAACAACACTGTATGTAGTCTTAAATGACTTTATTGTTTTTCGAAGTATTCTCCACGAAGATTAATACAGATCTGCATGCGCTTGAACCAATTTTCGAAGCACTTATTCTACTCGCTTACTGGCAGGTCCAAAACGGCATTTTTTAATGCGTCAACTGCTTCTCCTGGTGACTGGACCCTTTGACCACGCAGTCTGTTTTTAATTTTCGGGAATGTAAAGAAATCGTTAGGACTTAGATCGGGACTATATGGAGGGTGGTTCAATAATGCCACGTTTTCTTCCGTTAAGAACTGCCTTGTTCTTTGGGCTGTGTGCGAGCTTGCATTGTCTTGGTGGAGGATGATTCTTCTTTCGGGGTTGATTTTGCGAAGCTCGGTGATGACTTTTGGCAAACAAATGGTGCTATACCAAACCGCAGTAACAGTTCTTTGCTCATTAAGAGGAATTGTTGCAATATGACCCGCTTTTGTAGCGACCATCTTTTTCGAAACACTTCGAGAACGGATGACTTTTGTTGGCTTTTCTTCACTTTAGAACATCCCAACAGCCGACTGTCATAACAGTAAATCCACGATTCATCACCGCTAACAATGCTGTAGACATTTTTTGAGTTTCCGGAATTGAAACGATCAAGCGTTATTTGACACCAATTAACCCTGGCTGCTTTCTGCTCTTCAGTTAACAGGTGGGGTATCCAACGAGAAACTAGTTTTCTTACTCCTAATTCTTCATGTGAAATTTTTTGAATTGAGGTCTTTGAGATCTTCAAGGACGCCTCAATCTCGCTATATGTCACGTGTCTATCTTCAATGATGAGTCTAAGCACAGCGTCACCGTTTTCCTGGGTGACTGTCGTTTTTGGTGCACGCACCCTGGGATCGTCGCTAAGACTCACCCATCCACGTTTGAATTCTCCATACCAACGGGAAATTGTCGACGGATGTGGCGCTTTTTTGTCCAAAACAGACAGTAACTCAGCAAGGCGTTCTTGTTGCGATAATTGTCTCTGAAAGTTGTAATAAATTACGGCGCGAAAATGTTTTTGGTAGAGTTCCATTTTTCTAATGACTTGGTGACACTTAAAAATTCACTGTAGTGAGAACACTGTAAGTTGTGAAACTTTGAATTTAGGTACTAAAGAGTGAGTTTAAGATTCAGTACTGACGTTCGATCCGCGCGGCGTACTATGTTTCTATATGCAAAACTTAAAGGACATCCCTCGTATAACGCTGATGCCAAAAATAATTTCTCTTTGTCCAGATTTATTCGTTATTTGTCTACAGTTACTTGAAATTTCGTCATATAGCCAAAAATAGTTTGACAGGAAATGTGGAAGGAGATGTTCCAAGTATATCCTACAACAATTTTAATAGCAAATTTGTCATATTTTCACCATTGTAATTTTCGAAACGGTACGTGATACGGGTCGGTTGAATGGTGGAAAGGTTGTGTATTTACGTATTTCAGAAAATACATTTGAAAAGCCTTGACGCTTCCAGTATCTCCAGAGATTCACGGAAAAGGGGACGTATTTCCCAAAATCGTATCTATTTTTCCTGGATGTATTTCAAAATAAACTGACATTGTCACTTTTTGATCTCTGCAAAGGGGCATAAATAGAACATTCATATGATTTTTTGTCTCTAATCACCCGCCTCTTCTTTGATTTTTCTTATGTATTCCTTTTTTGCATATGCGATAGCTTTTAAATCTGAATCTAAATATTATTATTATTATTATTATTATTATTAGACATTATTATAAGAAATGTTTTCTTGAGTAAGCCTTGAAATTACCATATAGTCATTTATTTCATAGGATATCCAAGATGATCACGTTACTCAATGAGGGATAACATAATGTAATTCATTTATATTATTTAGAAGACATCGACATTAAAAAAACACTGTGAGCTAAAATGTCAGATCGAAATTGTAATCATGCTACCGTGTAGAAGAGAAAAAATGGTAACGTTATTATGTAATTTATTCTAAATTTGTAGACAATGTGAATGTTTGAAAAATTTTGATTCGGACTAAAGCCAGTTCCATGTTTCATTTTTTTATTGACTTACGCAACATGTCCCCACTGATTACTCCGTCGTATATTTATCATGAGATCTGATATTTACTGACCGTGTACCCTGGACGTCACAGTAATTATTGATACATAATGTTACGCAGAAATCCACTGATGGTACGGACGACAGTAAATACTCATCGTGTGACATTCGCTTTTCCGTTTCCGAGATCCCAAAGGCGAGCTTTGAATTTGAAATACACGTAACATGCTATTAGCAAAATTATGTTTATATCCACTTTTCAACTAATCCTAGAAACGTCTCATTTAATAGATATTGACTTAGCTTGTGCAGAACCCTGTATATGAATTATTTAATATTTGTAAAAAATTCGCCGCAGCTGCACCCTTGCCCCCTCTTGCTTTAACATGATCTTGTACTTTTCCATTATGCGTTATGTTTCTTTGCAGGACAGAAATCCAAACTGAAATACCACAAGAACTGGAAACTTCTCCCTGACCAGTCCTCATGTGGTAAATCAAACTCATACGAGCGTATAGTTGGGGGAAGCGCTGCCAAACTGGGCCAATACCCTTGGATGGCCAACTTAATACGTAAAGACAAAGGGCACATTGACCTCCTCTGCGGTGGTTCTCTGATCAATGAGAACCATGTGCTAACTGCAGCACATTGTATTGTATCGGGCTTGTAAGTAACTGTTTTGAAAGCGTGGATAGGTACGAGTACATGCCATTGAAAAATTAAATATACATACAAAAAGCAAGAGAAAAATAGTTTGGAATAAGCATAACACGTAGTACTTATGTGATATTGATGAGCAATACGTGTTCAGATTTTTCGAGCGTACTGTCACTTAGACATTGAATACAAACACTCTTCTTATTTAGGAACTTTGTAAGAGTGGGTGAGTATAACTTGGATACTACACTGGACTGCGAGGGATCGGTATGTGCTCCTAGAGCTATCGACTACAGGATCCTTAAGGCTGTACGTCATCCAGGATACCGGGCAAGAAAAATGCTGCATGACATTGCTTTGATTAAACTTAAAAGCCGTGTAAGATTCACCCGTAAGTAATCTGTAAGAGCGTTTACATATTCATAAATAAACAGAACTAGGTTTCTGCATCACATTTTTACCCACGGGACGAGCAGGTTGAGCGACTGATGAAAACACCAAATTTCCAAAGCACGCTAGTTGGCTGTCAAGTTGCTAATTCCATCAAATAAACAGAACTATGTTTCTACATCATATTTTTACCCACGGGACGAGCAGGTTGAGCGACTGATGAAAACACCAAATTTCCAAAGCATGCTAGTTGGCTGTCAAGTTGCTAATTCGATCAAATATACAAAATTTGATCTGAAGTTCGTGCCCCAAGTGTACGAAGTTGCGAATAACAGCTGGCGCAAATAATACGTCTTCATACTTGACAGACGCAGGTTGAGTGGGGAAACCGCTGGTCTCGCAGCCGCTGGCCTGACGTTGACTGTGGAGATTGTGGTTCTTGAGACGAACATTTTGTGCAAACTCCACCATGAGTTGGTAACAAGTGCCATGACTTTAACATTTTAACTTCTTCGTATATATCTTTGACTTGCAGCATTGCGAATTCTGCGACCTAGGTTGGTATGTCTATTCGGTGACATTTTGAAGAATCACAATTTTAATATTAGGCGCGATTGCGGTGAACTAACTTCCAGCCTTGTTAATTATTTTTGAAAAATGCTTTACAAAAAAGTCGCTGAACAAACTGAAAGCTGGATAAAAGCTCAAATCGAATGGACTGTGCAGTAATAATTAAATAAAACAATATTTTTTCATCAGTAAACACTGTTAAACGATCATATAAATTTGCGGCGTGCGAGCTGTCAAAATCAAAATTGTGGAGTAGTGAAAGTCAATTAAGCAAAAGAAACGTATTCTCATACGCCATTTTTATTCGTAGATTTAACTGACAAAGATAACAATTAGGCAGCACTGCAGATTATTTTAAAGTGTCAATCACAAAGTACGGATGGTAAAGTAAAAATAATCACTATGTTTTCAATGATTTTCCGATTTTCTGCGCAATTTTCTTGATTTTTCTGTCCGTAAGAGCCTTCTATATAGGATTAGGAAAGATGAATGAAATCGGTAAAGTCGTTTTCAACTTATGGCGTGATCACGCGAAATAGGGATTCATTTTTATATATATTTATTTTTATATATGTATATATAGATAAGAATATTGTATGACAAATAACTATTAATTCACTGTTATGCTTAAAGTCAAACGAAACACCAAGCAAAACTAAGTCAAGACGATCACGACAAGAAAACGAATGTCGAATTGCAATAAACGCACGATGCAAATTCTACGTTTATACAGTATATCTCTGTAGCAAATTTCGTCCAAATCCGTTTAGCCATTTTGGCGTGATTGAGTAACAGACATTCACCCATTCTCATTTATATATTCGTAGATAGCAGGGATAACCCCAACTAACAAGCTGAGAAAAATGACTACCCAAGAATTATCAGAAAATCTAAAAATACAAAGGCGAACTGTCATGACGATCTGAAGCCATTTTTATTTGTTGCTCATATCTTTACCGAAATCACACTGATCTTCTTGAGCTTGCTCACTACATCGTTACCTTAATATTTTCAATTATCAAAAAATGTCATTCAGCCATTTTTGTGGAGGGCTTTAAAGAAACCATTACTACAGCGTTGAAGCTAGCGTATTCTGTTTCCTAATGACACATCATGTGAGACAATCAGTTACCGTGCTGTCAAAATATATGTTGTTCATAAGTTACTTCAGCTGGAGCTGGGATTTATCGAGTAGGGCCAAAAACTGAGATCTCTATGAGTCGAGGTAATATTGCAACAATATTTCAGGCTGAAGTAACGATCACAGAAGGCTGTGCAAAGGAGCTAATAAGAAATGAGACTGCAAATCAGTTGATCGTGATCTTAGACAGCCAGAGGTAATAAACTAATCACAGTATCGTCTAAACTAGTATGGGATTGAGTGAACACTCTCAAAGAACTGGAAATTCAAAACATGGAAATTCAAAATAACGTAAAATTGCTCTGGGTTCCAGGAGATGAAGTGCACAAAGGAAATGGAAAGACGGATGAGCTAGCACGATAGGGTTTGGCCAATCGCCTCATAGGTCCAGAGCCTTTCTGTGGCATGACAAGGACACGCTCTAAACAGTCTATAAGAAGTTGGACCAAAGCAAAAGTCCCTAGAATTCTGGAACAGCCAATTGAGGCAAAGGCATGCAAAAGAGTTCATCAAATAACGAAGGGCAGCCTTTACAGAGGACATACTTGGAATTAACAGGAGTGCCATAAGTGCCATAGTGAGTTTTCTGACAGGATTCAGTTATTTAAATCGACTTATGATTCTCTTGGGTATGGCAGAAGAGGACACGTTTCTGCAGAGAGCATGAGGAAACCCCAGTGCATCTCCTGTGTCACTGGAAGGCCTGGCAAGACTACGGCTTTAGATAGCAGGAACCAGGTCCAACAGCGTAAAGCTACATGCAAGGTCCTGTCCCATATAGCACAACGACATCTTAAAAACGTTCAAAAGATATCTTACTCTGTACGTTCAAGTTGTCTTAAAGATATCTTGGATTTCCGGAAAAATGTCTCATATACGTCTTATAAATGTACGTATGTTACAAATCCTAACATCTTTAAGACATCTTTAAATGACATCTTTGAGATGTCTGTTGACGACGACTTTAAGATGTCTTTTGATAACAGTTTTAAGACTTGTTTTAACCCCGTTTTTCGATAAAAATTATAACTCTACAATAAAACAATTGAATATTGAAAAAATCTAGACCATATATTTTGGAATGGAAAATACAATGTATAGCGTAAGTTTAAAGTTTTTTCTTCATTTGATAGGTATTTCTATCAGATACTCTTCTCAGCCATAACTGAATTACTGTTTCAGCCTCCTTTTTTTGACTTTGCCAATGTTGTAGCAGGACCTACTCTGGATCAAACCACGCCACAAGGGAGAATCCACGGAGAATCTATAGAGTAAACCACACGCATTAAAGGGCGAAAATCAGACAAGGTTAAGAAACACATTCCAGCTAAAAAACTGATGATAACCACAAATACATACCTTTCAACTTGCAGGCAGGCCCGCGAAGTACAGAAAAGACAGTTTTCGTACAGATTACAGTGATTACACATAGATTAATTAGCATTAATTAGGCACCACAACCTCATTACGCACTTTGTACTTTCAGCTCACACAACACATAACACTGAGAACGCGAGAACAGTCCCGTGTCATCCATAGCCATAGGGCAACGCAATTGACTTATGTCAATGTCAAGCGGCCATTTTTTTACTGCTTTGATTTTTTTTTTGAACATACAAAAGCATTTGTTTTTTTCTCTAAAACTATTGCACCTAGTATTTTAGCTATAATACTTGGAACAGTCAATTGGATACTTGGAATATTATTTTCAGCCACAAAAGATATGGAAAAGATATCTTAAAGATGTTACATTCCAGATGTCTTAAAGACATCTCTAGTAAGACATCTGGGAGATATCTTTTTCAGGTCTTAAGACATAACGACCTCATTAGGACATAAATAAGACATCTTAAAGATATTGTGTGCTATATGGGGTGTGAAGGCTACGGAGTCTGATTAAAGGATCAAGGTTAGACACAGTACTTTAGAAAGTATATGTGGAGGTCATAATAGATCCATTTGGCTTGTAGGCTGGCAAGCCAACCCCTTTCATCTAATCTGTAGGTTATTTAAGTAAGACCAATTTCCAGTCCAGTCTCCAGTCTCCTCAAGAGACCTACATTTCATCCTGAGACAACTTGTACACAAGTATCACTCATTCACAAATTTGTCAGACATGACAGTACACTGAATTTGCTTTTTCTTTACAGCTTTTATTCGCCCAATTTGTTTACCCCAAGGCCGTATGCTAACTTCCTACCGTTTGAGCGGCAATGTGACCGTTGCTGGTTGGGGAAGCATTGATCCTGATCCAGACAGAAATATTTTTCCCTCAAAGCTCCAACATATCAGTATTCCAGTTGTATCTTTGAAACAATGTCAAGCCATTTTTCTTAAATCTAACATAGATGAAGGTAATCACTATTGTGCTGGAGGAGAAGGTAGAGATTCCTGCGTAGGTGATTCTGGTGGACCAATGATGAAATCTTTCGTAGATGGTAGTAGCAGAAATTATTTCATTTTTGGGTTAGTGTCATACGGAAGCGACGTTTGTGGATATCCTGCAGTGTATACTAACGTGCCTAAGCATATAAAATGGATCTTGGACAAAATATCTAATTAGGAAGTTTAATAAAAGGTATTGCTTTTGCCCACATTGATGCCATTTTTACGTAGACTCGTATTCTCCTGTTTTCTTTCTGTCACCTCTCTCCAAATAACTAGACATACAGCGTACTGATGGTTGCTAAAAGTCATGAAACAACGTTGGATACGATTGGGTAATATCAAATAGCATGTGATTTTTGCAGATGATCTTAAATTATTCAGAACAGTGCGAAATATCCACGATGCAGAAGAATTACAAAGAGATATCATAAATCTTGCTCAGTGGCGTATTACTAATCAATTGGAATAAATGTTGCCAGATAAGTTTTACCCGTAGTTCTCGTATGGATATAAAGTTGAAAACATGAGAAATAATACAGTTAGGGATATAGATATACCTTATGATACAAAATTAATTTCTAAAACATACATTAGAGAAATTACTTCAAAATCGCTGCTCTTTGCTTCAGAATCATCGAGTATATTGAACATAGACTCCTTCAAACAAGGCAGGGAAATTTTTGATTTATTTTTCTGTTCAAAATAGTTAATGGCGTGATAAATTGCCCAGAGTTACCCAAATAAATCTCAATCTTAATGAAAAACAAAGTCGCACTAGAGAATTGTTTACGATCCCACATCACTCTGCCAATAATAGTATAAATGGACCAGTTACTACAATTTTTAGATCTTGCAATACAGCTGTAAGCTACAGTATACATAGATATTTTCAGTGGCAATATTAAGCGCATAATAACTTTAGTTTCTTAGGTCTTAAATAGTATGTTG